TACAACACTGCCATGCCGAAGCTCTGCTGGCTGTCCATGGAATGAAAATTTTGCCACCTTGTCCTGTGCCTCTTTTGGCACAGCAAACCCCTACACATATGTTAAGATATTCAGCAGAATGTGTAAAAGTTTAACAGAAAATAATTCTGATAATTTTACACCTAGAAGGAGAGAATTCTGATCAAACTTGGTCTATATCATTTCCTACCTAATCTTATTATTTTATCCTTTATTTTTTCTACAGTGTGATTTTTGTTGCTCGCGTCACCATATTCCAGGAAAAGCAGCGTATGGATTAAGTTCTAGAAGATAAGAGGGGTAAGAAATCTAGAAGCAGGGAAAAAGGAAGAAGAGAGAACTGTCCATATATAGATTCATATGAACAGGTCATAAGCATGGTACTTTCTTTTTCTATGTTTCGGATTCATGATAGAATATTAAATACCATTACAAGTTAGAGACAAATTATGGTACTGATTTTATTTTGGAAGTTATGCCACATACACAGAGTTTGTAATCAAAGATATTTGGCTTCAGGTTTTAGCCAGGTAAATTTACTTTCTTGATCACCATACTTCAATATCAAGTTGTTTGTAATTTGTTATTTTTTGGATAATTTAGTTTTATTACCCAAAGAGCAGTGAACTGCTTCAAAAGAACAATGAGAGTTCGGAGTACAAGGATTGCCCTAAATCAAAGGCAAACAAACAAAATCAAATTATACCCCATTGGTTACAAAGATTAATATTAACAGAATCTAATCTATTGATAGGCCTACCCCTTAGATGAAATCCAACAGTTTCCTTGATAGCTTTGAACATAACATCAACCGTGGAAGCTTGACCTTGAAAGATTCTCTTGTTCCTTTCTTTTCAGATTGTGTAAATTAGAGCATTGGAAGAGATTTTCATTAAAGAAGTGAGGAGGGATTTGCCATTCCAAGTAGCAATAGCCCAATTAAAGAGAGTTTCCCAAGAAGTGTGCCTAAAACAAATTCCATTGGTGTCAAAAATAGCAGACCATAAAGCAGTGGCAATCGGACATTCAAAAAATAAATGATTTCTAGTTTCAAATCCTACTCCACAAAGAGTGCAGTGGAGGTCAGTAACCAGCCCTATACGATTGAGCCTTTCTTTTGTAGGAAGGCGATCAAAGAAAGCCATCCATGCAATTAGGCTATGTTTTCTTGATATGTTTTCTTCACCCGAAAATAATGGGACCCCAAAGGGGTCAAGGAAACCAATTATCTTTCCTTTTAACCATAAACACCTGGTCATGAACGATGGCACATCTTTTTCCATTCAGCCAACCCAACCCCCTTCCCCCGGCCCAATTTTACCCAAATGTCATCATAAAAATAAGGGTAAAGTATAGTAATGGTCACTGAACATTTCTGAAGTTTGTATTTAGGTCCCTCAACTTTTAAAACTTGCAATACAGTCCCCTAACATTTATTCCGTTTGCAATATGGTCCCCCAACTTAAATCACTGTTAGAAAATTAGGGTAAATTATATAAACGGTCATTGAACTTTTCAGGCACTTGAATTTAGGTCCCCAACTTTTAAAACTTGCAAAACAGTCCCCCAATAATTTTATTTTCTTATTAAATATAGATGTATAGAAAATATAAATGATTCAATTTATATTTAAATGTATGAATCATTTATATATTTTTGATATATTTTATTTTTCTTGTATAAACTAGTATTTAAAATATGCTTATATTTTAATCAAAATATTTCAATATACGAATAAAAATATATTTATATAAATGTATATTTATATTTAGATGTATAAATAAAAAAATATATTCATATATTAATGTATGAATCATTTATATTTTTTGAATATTTTATTTTTAATAAGAAATTAAAATTATTAATTATATTAGAAATACTCAACTTAAGATTTATATATATAATCATGAATTATATATATGAAAAATATAATTATTAAATTTAGTTTAAAAATATATAAATCTTAAATTTATTCTTTTAAAATATTGTATCAACTAATATTTAAAAAATATATTAAATCTATCAAACAATTTATCAAATATAATATTTTTATTGTAAAAAAATATAATATTTTCCCATCATTTATTGGTTTCAAATTTTTTGCCGAAGTTCAAATCTCATTATTTCCATTTTCCATTATATTCTTTTTTTCTGGCATTGGTCATACTATTAGTATATGTATTATTGTATATCTCTTAACACAAACGATGGTGTTAGCTTAGTGGCTCCACCCTGTATCTTTCATTTGCGTGACTCAGGTTTGAGTTTGCCCAAGACCCAAATTTTACTTCTTTGTAACTTAATTTTCTTCTAATTAGGTGGTGACATGTGTCACCAATAACATATATCATGATCATGTGTTAACACATGTCAGATCCTGGTTAAATGATTAGTTTATTAAATTTTATTTAATTTAGGACCAAATTGATGGCATATATAAATAATTAGGTGGTGACATGTGTCACCAATGACACGTGTCATGATCATGTGCTAACACATGTCAGATCCTAATTAAATGATTAATTTATTAAATTCTATTTAATTTAGGACCAAATTGATTATATAAATAATAAAGACTGAATGTATAATAATGTCAATTCCTTTTAACTGCCACTTCATCATTTGTATCAATTGATAACGACTAGTGGCTTAGTTGAAACAGTTAAATAATTATGTTGTATGATTGATAAATTTAAAAGATCGATGACAAAAATAAAAAGGGCTAGATAGTTAAGTTGTCAACCTAGTAGTTTACACTTTTATTTATACGTCAAAATAACATTTTATAAATTTAAAATTCGAATTATTTTAAACCTCTTCTATATCCTAACTACTTTTTTTAATTAAAAAATTTATTCAACAGATAAGAATTATACTATTATATTTATATAAAAAATACTTATCACATGAAATAAGATGAAATTAAATAATAATAAATCTGACATAATTGAATTTAATTGAATTATTTTGGAATTTAGGGTTTAGAATGAAATTAAATTACTTTGGAAATTGGGGTTTAGAATGAAATTGAGGACTATTTTGCAAGTTTTAAAAGTTGGGGGACCTAAATTTAAGTGTCTAAAAAGTTCAATAACCTTTTATATAATTTACCCTAATTTCTAACGGTGGTTTAAGTTGGAGACCATATTACAAACGGAATAAATGTTAGGGGACTGTATTGCAAGTTTTAAAAGTTGAGGGACCTAAATGCAAGCTTCAAAAATGTTCAGTGACCATTACTATACTTTACCCTAAAAATAATTAATTATCAAAATAACTCCCATTAATGATCAACTTTTGATCTGACACTCATTTTTGCCATATAGGCAAGGCAAAGGTGCGTTCTGCAGGAAGCATTTCGGATACAGCCAAGAAATTATATACAAAAAAAAATTCCAAATCAAGAAATGATGGGTGTTTAGTGATCAAATAACCACCTAGTTTTCTGCTTTTCCTTCTTACCGCAACAGCCATGCAGGTAGCGTTTTGGATACAGTATTCGACCGCTCCGACGGCTATCCGATTGCCTGCCCACATCATTATCAGACGCCAAGTCATCGACTTCTTCTTCTGTCCCAAAACCAGAAGTGTCACTCCTTGCTTTTTGGCTTCTTCCACTATTGCAGGACCTTTCTCTTTTCCTCCACCACCGAGACTTCAACTTTCACCTGCCCATAAACAAAATCAGCATGATAAAAGGATACATTAGTTAAACTGTCATTGTGTCCATATACCACCTCAGGTCTCTTCTGCTTGCACATCCTTTTCAGGGAGGAAACTGGTTCACATGCCCTTGGAGCTCTGTTCTCATTATTTGTAACTGTAACATGATTATTAAGATTAATTCAAGCTAATAACCGAAACACTTTACATGCTAAGTATAGAAGAAAAATGGAGAGTTTCAAACCTTGTTTCGAGGGTTTTGTTACAGAGAGAAGAACAACAGTGTCCTGACATTGAACAACAGTCTGAGAAAGTGCCCATTGTAAAGCTCCCTTGGCTTCAATGCTGAGAATCAACCACGATCATTATTTTCCTCCCAATCACCAACCCAGCTTCTTCTCCGACTTTGTCACAAAGTTGATGTATTTTTTTAGCAGAATCCAGAATAGGATTGGGTTGTGTTGGAGGAGACTTAACTCTAATATGAGGCCTAATCCTGTTTAGACAGAAACCTGGCAACCTCGGCCCTGTTCTTCCCATCTCCTCAAATGCTTCACTGCTGCTAAGCTTTCACACCAAATTATATGTGTATATATATATTTGATGAACCAAATTTCTAGATGTAAGCTTGAGGGGAATTGGTTTATTTCATTTCTGCCAAATTTGCTTTCTTTTGTTTGGTAATCATGAAAGCAGGTCTTTGGTTTCCCTTTTTTTTTCCCTTTTGCGGGGCAGTTCCTGAACGTGCCTGTCATGAATCCGTAGGCCCTTCCATTTTAGCTCAAGTAGCATATATATATATATATCATTCCTCTTAGCTATGAAATAATGGAGAAGTTGAGGAACGAGTAATGATATCAATAAGTGGAAAAGAAGATAATTAAGAACTTATTGATGTTTTTCGGTGAAATGAATATTAGATTCGTATTTAGAAGGCTAAAAAAATTAATTGAAAATTTTGAGATTCAATTGTCCTTACTGAGGCCGATGACAAGCGACGGATGACGACTAAAGACTTTAGTCAGATTTATGTGTTAAATTTATATTTTATCTAAAGTTTAAGAGTCAAATTAATATCTTGTCTAAAGTTCAAGAGTCAAATTAGTGTTTTATCTAAAACTTAGGGGTGAATTATTCAAATCATTTGAGATATTTGAATATATCTCAAATCCAAATTAAATTATTTAACTCTGGTTTGAAAGTTTGTACAACCAAAAGTAATTAGTTTGTAACGGGGATCCAATGACAATTTTGATTATTACGACTCTCAAATCTCAATGGAAATGAAGTCAAGTCCAACTAAGAAATTTGGTCTTATTCTTTCCCATTTCATAATCCCTCCATCTTCACCATTAAATTCCTTTGGATGTTGCCTTCTGAAATGTTGGAATTACATGTAAAGTTATCTATAAGTCAATTGAGATAAATCTTGGAGAAAATGTTATAATGCTATTTAAATCAGGAAAGAGATGGGTGCTGGTAACTGATCTTACTCTCTTTTGTTCTTCCATGTTTGCTTTTATCAGGGAATAGATGGCCACTCCAGCGATTGCTATCGCAGTTCCAATCCCAGTTTGAGTGGAGATCTTATTGCCTGCAACAATACCGTGTTTTTATTATTATTAATAATATTATTATTTATAATGATCATCAGTAAAGAATTGAATCAGATCTTTTCATACTCGTCCGAATCTGAGTAACATAGCCTGCTGCATGAACATACGGTATGCGGGAGAAAAACCGGGAAAAACTTACCGAAAACGACAATAGAGAAGCCGATAACAAAAACTCGCTTCAATACATTTCCGACTGCATGTGCAAGTGGTGCAACCCTTTCCAAGGTATTAGTAGCCAGCTGCATTTTCTCACCTCAATGAGTTAGTTCCGTAAGCGAACCTTGAATTCAATTCACTGATGCAACTATTCTAAAAAGATGACATTCAACAAATCTACAATTCAAGTCCCAGCATTAGCTTCCGGCCATTTCTTTGATGACATTTCCATTTAATAACATATGTAAGAGTTTAGACAGAAGGAAAGAACGAAACCCGAAACTTAACCGATTCGTGCAATCACAGTCCACAGATGACATTCAAGAAACTCACTGTTTCTGAATTCATATATTTCACATACTGCAGGGTTTTTTTTATGCAATACATACCTGATTGTAGAGGTGATAAAACATTCCAATCCAAAATAAGTCGGACAAGAATTTGGTTAAGCCAACTTTGGCAATAGCATCTCTGAATCCATATTGCATCAGCTGAGGACCCTCAATCTGGATTCAAATCAACTCCATATTAGCAAATCATTAGTTATAAATAGTTCAATCAAAGTGAAAAAGCATGGTGAAGATCCCTTCTCATTTTTAATTTACTTACAAAAATTGCAGGTGGTAGACAGAACAAGAGGGCAATGATGGAAATATATGCATAAACATTTGTGCTATCCATGCCTGTCTGTTAAATATAAAGGGAAAGCTATGTCAATCAAGGCGAATGTTGAACACGGATGTATATTCGATACAAATAGAAATTTTTGTATAAAAGGTAAAGTGAAATTTCCTTCTCTTACCATTGCTTTCTTTGAGTATATGCTTCTGTAAGTAAATGCAATGTTTGAAATCATTGCACTGATAAAACCAGTCCAATTGAAAGAAAGTTCAGTGAGTGAAGCCATTGAAACACCTTAAAGTAAAGCAGAAGATAACATCAGATGGAAAAGATTAATCAGAAGGAAATCTGTTTAACATGAAAAAGAAAAAAAGAAACACTTTACCAATAACAACAGGAGCTAATGAAAGCCAAAGGGAAAGTGGAATCTGATGGCCCAAAACAAACTGAGAAGCGGCAGCATAGAAGAATGGCTCCAGGGCTGTTGAAAAACAACAACATAAATTTAGATTGCGACTGAAGGCGTTTAAAAAAGTTTGAGAATTGTTCCCATTTTCAAAAATCATTTTACCTTTGATAGTGTGAGTGAAGGACACTGCAACAGCTGCAAATGATACATCGGACATGACATGTCCAAGGGCATGGCAGAAAGCAACAGGAGTCAACAGAACCAAGAGCTCCTTATCAATTGGCTAGTAAAATAGGAAGAAATTATGCTTTTTAAGATGAAATCCATCATCTAATCTAATATTGAACAGAAAAGAACTGAGAAAACTAAGCTTACAGCTCTTTTTGGTAGGCCAACACCCCAAGAAACCAGACAGTAAGCCACTCCAACTACCAGATGTATAACCGAAACAAAACTGCAGAAGGGGGGAAGTGAAATAACTCTTTATTACAGATATGTTAATATTTTCTTTTAGTTTGTCCTAGTATTTGGAGTATACTAAGAGGATCACCTCCCCATACACCTACACATACACATAAATGATAAATGTGTAGGATATATAGATTCTTCAAGAAAAAAATGAAAAGTACTGGGTAAAACTGCGACGAACTCTTAAATCTAATGATGCATAATTTGTACATACTATGGATATGGGAAGTAATTGTAGACCTTGTTGAGAATGTTGAAGATTACATTTAAAAAGTACCTGCATTATAGATCGAGAGAACCGTGAAAATCAATATGAAGAGCATCATTTTACCCGGAAAAGCTGAAGAAGAAAAAAAACATGGTATCAATTTAATTTGTTGAAGCATTTTATCATATTGCTTTGGGACATAGGAGGCAGGGGAAGGAGCTTAATTCATAGGAGCAAAAACTAAGATGATGGTTCATTCTTTTATGAACTCAAAATCAATTAACAACAAATGGGAACACCCAAAGCAGATTAAAAAGCAGCTGCATGTATAGTTAGTTAGCTCATATGAGTTATCAACGGTATTCGTACGTCAGGAACATCAATAATGGAGAAAAGAGATTAGGAGTTCTGATTCCATCGTCTTTTACTTCTTCAAAGATCAAATACTGCTTTTTCTCTGCGCTTACGTACAAATTTAGGGTAGTATGGTTCGAGTCATAAGAGAACCGATTCATCGTCTATGCGAAAGTTTATGGGATTGTTTAATCGCAATTTCCATAGAAATCATGTTGGAAAACTTTTTTTTTCTTGGCAAATCGTTTTCCGACAGAAATTATGTAAAGGGAGCTTTGGCTACTTTAAAAAATAAGAGTAAAATACACAAGTAATCCCTCAATTATAGGGTATTTTTATGTGTCCCCAAACTTAATACAACTTTAGGTTATTGACTTTAAAAAAATAATTAATACAAAAATAAGTGTTCAAATTATTCATTTTATTAACTTTAAGTGCTTAAAAAAATTTCTTTCAAAATTGATGACTAGCATTTCCGATGTTATATTTTTAGGTGTTTGATCCGTCATCGCCGTTAAAAATTTTATTATTTAAAAAAACTTAAAATTTTATTTTATTTTAAAAAATCTAATTTTTTTTATTAAATAAAAAACCTAATAACCCTAATTATCTACCCACCGTCGTTGATGTTACCTTGATCGTCGCCCTTTACTATCGGTTACTTCATCTAATCAGATTCTAACATACGGCGAGAGGAATCATCGCTTGAAATACTAGATTCATTTCCCTTTACCGAAATCTCTTAATCCCTGCCATCATTCATTTTTTGTTGTAATATCGTTTGAAGCAAGAGGTTTCGGTCGTCGGGTATTTGTGCCTTCGTCTCTTACTCTGTTTTGTTTTTTTCTCTTCTCGGCAAAGGTGTTCTCGTATAAACGCCTCCACCATGAAGCTCATTATTTCCCGCTCATAAAAGGACAATCCAACATAAACAAAGAAAATCAGAGAAAACATTCCACATACGAGACCGAACTAATCTTATGCGGTTCATGTTTTTTTTTTTTTTTGATTAATCATGTTGTGATGCCTGGGATATGAAATTCCATGATAAATACTTTCCATGGGAACACAAAGGAGGAGTGTGAGATAGACGTGCCACTGCAAATTGATCTATGAGGCTAAAAACTTGAGGATTTGTTGAAGATGGCAGTATAGGAAACTTTCTAAAAGAAAAAGATGAGAATCTCATGCAATTTCTACTAGCTTTATGAGGCTAAAAAGCATGTGGCTATGTGCAAGAACATGGTTCAACTTGAAATTTCCTATATAGTCCCAAGAATTCAAGTTTGCAATGAAGTGGTTAATCTACTTTGAAGTTACCAGTCTTGAACTATTGACTCCAACAAATACAATGGTGCGATCATATGAACCCCCTGGGACAACTTCCAATTAGCTGGATTATTTCTTTCAAAATTATTCAATGTTGTCAAACATGTATAGAAATTACTGCAGTTGCCTTTTTTGTTTAAAGTAAACAAATTCATCAAGTAAGCTATATGTTTGTGAGAGACTACTTTCATGTTCTATTATCTTTATTTTTTCGTAAAAATAAAATAAAAGTTAAGGATGGTTCACGTATTATGATCATCTTTGTATATCTTTGACTGTGTTCGTGAATATATACAACCTCAAAGCAGCTGGCAGACAAATTCATGGGAGTTCCAAGCTCTGGTTTTCATCCCTTTATTCAGAATGAACTTACCTTCTGGTATTCAACCCTCTGCTTTTGAGTCCAATATGTGGATTGTTATAAGCATTTCCAAGTTCGAATTTCAGTATCTGAATTCAGTAGTAGTATCTAATTTATTATAATAACATTTATTATCGAAATTAAGATATTTATCGCCGATAACAATAATTAATTTCTCTGTCACACGTGTCCTCACGAAAAAAAATAAAGGTATGAGCAAGAAATACGCTCATAAGATATTTGCAGCTTATGATGCGAATGTGAGTTACCATTGTCATATATAACAAAATTGTGAGGTTTTAAGAAGAAGTAAAGGGCAATAGTTTTGGATGTTGCAGCTGATGCTTTAACACTCATTCGTTGGGATCCTTAGATCCTCAAAAAAGGAAAATAAATAAAACTCAGAAATCTTGACCATTCAATCCATCACCGAATGGTTCTCACTTGACTACACGTGCTGCTTTACCTTTTCCTTTACCTTTTGAATCTTTTTTTGCCTTTCATGCATGGAATTCTCCTTCAACTACAACACAAAAACAAAGGAGAAACAGTCACGGCCTTTTTTATTTGCTTCTTCATCTTATAGGCCTCTTCATCTCCACCATCAGCGACACATCTTCTTTTTCTGGTTGTCCAAAAGCAAGAAACTTTGTGATCTGGATTCTGGATTTTGCTTCTTCGCCAATGAAAGATGTGTTCTTGGTCATGAAAAAATGCTGTATTTTTTGAAGATTCAAGGTAAGGAATAAGCTACTCATCTCGTTTCGATTACTGGGGTATTTTTCTATTTTTGTTATCAGTGATCAAAACCCTTTGAAATTCTTTCTTAAATGGAACAAACTCGAGAGAAGAAGTTTGTTTGCAAGTTTTGCAACAAAAGGTATCCATGCGGGAAGTCCTTAGGCGGTCACATAAGGACTCATATGAACAATGAGAATTGTGGTGAATCAGAGACAGTGCCATCAGCTGGACTTATCTGCAATGGAAGAATCGTCAAGAGAGTCGCCGAAGCTGAAGCCGATGGCTATGGCCTGAGAGAGAACCCCAAGAAAACCAAGAAATTCTCTGTTTCGAGCAATGCTCCTTTGCTCAAAGAGATGATTTGCAAGGAATGCGGTAAGGGTTTCCATTCATCCAAAGCTCTTTGTGGTCACATGGCTTGCCATTCAGAGAAAGAGAGGGTCTATTGTGAAAAACAGAAGCCGATGATGGACAGTCAGTCCGACACCGAAACATCATCGACTCCAAGTAAGAGGAGGAGATCTAAAAGAATAAGGTACAGATCAACTGAGGTTTATTCTAACAATTCGGTTGTTATGGAGAATGGTTCATCATCTGTTTCGGGGATTGAGCAAGAACAAGAAGAGGTTGCAATGTGTTTGATGATGCTCTCGAGGGATTCATCAGGTTGTTGTAAGAAAGGATTGAGTTCAATTGGCGACTCTTCTGATAACAACTCTGTCATTCTGGAAGCTAAATCATCGTCCATTGATGTGAGGATTACTGTCAAGAATGACATGAAATGTGTTCCCAACAATGGTGAGTACTTGAAGATGAAACAAAGAGACACCAAATTGAAATCCGCTGAGGCTGGTCCTTCTTCCGAGTGTTCAGATTCTTTTTATTTCACGAATGGACCCAAAAAGGTGGAATTCGAGGAATTCGATTCGAAATTCGGGAAGAGTTCGAGTAAATTCAAGAGTTTGAACACTGAATTCCCCAAGGATAATAACCAAGCAAATAGAGGTTTGAATCAGTATGATTTGAGAAGATCAAATGCCAGGAATGATGATTATTACAGTCATGAAGTTTACTGCAATAACCCTTCAAAAGGAAGCAAATATGAGTGTTTGACCTGCAACAAGGCCTTCGATTCCCACAGAGCACTCAGGGGACACAGAGCTAACCATACAAAAGCCAATGACTGCAACGAAGATAGCTTAGCAAATGATGGTTTCATTGTCCCAATGACTCATAACAAAGTGACCAAGCCATCACCACATGGAAGAACCCTAAATAATCCTCTTGGTTCCTCGTCCGAGAAAAGATTGGGATCAAAGAAAAACAAGAGGCACCAGTGCCCATTTTGTTTCAGGGTTTTCAAGTCAGGCCAAGCTCTAGGAGGTCATAAAAGGTCCCATTTTGTTGGAGGTGCTGAAGATAGAACATTGGTGATCAAGCAAGACTCGCCAGATATGCCCACTGCCGCTGTAATTGATCTTAACCTTCCCGCTCCTGTTGAGGATGATGCCATGGGGAATGTTGGGATCTCGCCATGGGAGATTTAAAGGTCAAGAACCATTCCTGGTGCAGGTGGAATGGTGGGTTCGGTCTCTTGAATGAATGAAGTCTTGGGAATAGGGTACTTCATTATGATGCAAATATTTCAGTGTATAGACAAATTAATTAGTTGGTCCCCTTGCATTGGAAACTACTTGTTTCTGTTCATTTTGTCTATGTTCTTAGATTATATGTTCATCATAACTTCAAATGATTTATCTTTTTTATATTATATGTTTTACTTCAAATGTATTCGATACATATATTTTGATTCAAGTCTCGTAAAGAGTATTTGACATTTTTCTCTATCATAACAATGTCGTTTTAGTGTACCGTTGTCGAGTCAATGGTTTAGTTGTATAATTGAAACGAAAATCAAAATTTAATGTTATAATTGAAATAACTGAAAGATCAGTTGTATAAATGATACATTGTCTAAAGCTCAATGGTATCTTGTGTAATTTACCCATATTAATATCAACCCTTCGTTCGTTTGCTCGCTCTTATCTTAACTAACGTTGTTCATCTGGAAGACAGGAAGAGAGAACCGGAGAGAGGACAACAACCCAACGATGTTTTGCTCAACAGCTTCCTCTATCCCCATTTATTTTGATAAAAAATTCCCCATTAGCTCCCCTAAAATCCTTAAACCTTCTTCTTCTTCTTCTTCACCTTGTTGTCTACCATTGAATACCTGGGTGTCACCCAAGTCTCTTGTACCTCTGGCTGCTTCTGTTGCTATTCTTCTTTCTCCAGTTCCAGGTACATCGATAGATGATTTGATGCTATATTTCCATGGCTTCAATTTCAGTTCATTGCATTGACTGTTCTTTTGACTAGTCAAATAAACTGCGAAATTGTTGAAATTCAGGGCATAGTTAAAAACGATAAATTGAGGTTCTTTTTCATTTTGCAGCTAAAGCTGGACTGTTGTCAGGATTCCCTGGAATCGAATCAGTTCCTGGTCCTAAATTACCTGAGATTGAGTTCCTAAATCGCTTCAATGGTTTGGTCATCATTCACAGTCCAATTCATTAACATTTGTGCTTTATATTCTAGTTTGCTGACACGAAATTAGCCTTAAAAATGGGTTGCTTGATTTTTCAGAAGAAAACCAGAAGAAGTACGCTGAAGCTGATGCAAGATTCAAGTCATCTCCCTTGCTGAAGCAGTTGTTAGAGCGGTCTAAGCAGAACAAAGAAAAGTATTTCATCTTCTTTATCCTATATCAGGATCAAAATTCCTTCAGTTGAACTAATATTTCTCAAATTCATTTGTTCACTTATCTGTTCAGTCGATGTGAAATTCGAGATGTCTGAATCCAACTTGAAAACGTATATTAAAAGATGGTTACATGAACCACTTATAAGTTCTTGAACTTGCATTATATGGTTAGTCATCAGGATAGAATTGTGATGTTTGCTGCAAATATTTGGAAAATTGCAGGAACAAGCAAAAAATTCAAGACAAGTACTGCCTACGAGGGGCAGAGATGGGAGTAGGGGATTGTTCGGTAGAGGCGATGTCGCCGGAAGACAAAGAAAAGTTCATTGCAACATTGAAGCAGAAGGTCGGAGTCGAATGAAATGGAGGGGACTTCTCTTTTTCTCTTTTCTTGTTTTCATTTCATTGGTTGGATATATTAGGTCAAAGCATATGAAAGAATAAATGTAATGGCAATGGCCATATTTGTATTGAGTTTGGTTTAAATCAAAATCCATGAAGAAAAAAAACAAGGCAAGATGAAAAATAAGAAATCGCCCCGTATGCTTTTCAAATGTTCTTGTACAGAAAGTTTGCCTGGAAAATTGCTTGAATAAAGTGCACCAGAAATTATTTTATGATCCAAGGTGATTACTTGAATAATCAAACCAAATAAGCACAAAAATATTGTTGAATTATTTTTTCTTAGCACTCCATTTCATAAACTTGAATTATTATTGTTCATTAAATAACTGTATACACAAGGTTATTGATCCAAAAGAAATATTTACATTTGTTTTGATTCAAAAGAGAAGAGAAAAGAAATAGTAAGAAGTTATCATCTCTTAGATTAAACCTATCATCTTCTGAAACAACCATTGATACTATGAAGAAATGATGCATGCAGAGCATTATTTATGGATGATACAAGTTATTTGTTTGTAACAATCCAAATTTCAGGATAAGAAATGTACGAAGGCAAGATCCATGGATCATCATTTTAGACCTCGCCTCTCAATGCAATGAACTAGTTCCCTCTATAGTATTCTCAATTAATACATTAAAAGCTTGTATTCGTTACTAGGTTATGGCAAGAGGTGGAGGATTCCCTGCAGGGCATCTCTGTCTGCGAGGCCGTCTAGTTGTTTTCCCCCACCCAGTAAGGCTTCTATCCTCCAACCCCACTTCGATGTTATTAAGCTGCTGCACCAGTGTTGTGGACATTGCCTCGGCTACCGAAGCAGGAGAGGAGTTAGTAGCTACTGACAACCGCCTCCGCCTGCCACGCCCGCTTCTGGTGCCATTTCTTTTTGTCAATCCGGATTGCCATGAGTGTCCTGTTGCTCTCATAAGCCATCCAAATGTCTGAATATCTTCTGTTACCTCATGCCTTGATAGGGAAGAAAGGCCTGGAAGGATGTCCTTTCGGAAGTCCCTCCGCTGCCTTCCTCGCCTTCCCTGGCCCTTCCGCGTTTGGATTGTTAACAAAGTGGTAGTTCCGGTTTCTTCCACTTTCACGTTTTCAGGAACCAGAGGTTTGGGCATGTAATCCTCTTCCTTGGTTTCTGCTAATTCCAAAATCATAGATTCAAAGTAATCAATCTCTTCCACTGAAGATTCATCTTGATCCCTATCTTTAACTCTTGAAAGATCCTCAAGCTTGCTCTCAAGATCCTCACCAAAAGAGGAAATCATCTCAGCAAACCAATTAAGGGTGTCTATCTCAGAAGTTTCAGATGAATTGGGATTGACATCATCCATATGGCTGCACAGACCAGATGATGAGATGTCAACAATTGCCTCAGCTGCACTTTTAATAAGTTCATCCTGCAAGCAGTCATCTTTGCTTCTTACTGATAGCAAAGGTGACCCACATGCCTTTTCCAGTAATTCTTCTCCATTAATAACATCCTCAGGCTCAGGAGCTGGTGGAGCTTCCAAATCTATCCCCCCAGCCATCTTCATGCCAGTGCTTGGAACAGAGGGCGTAAAAGAAGCTTCATTCTCATCAACACAGGAGTTCAAATCAATTTCAGGTCTTAGACTTGATAACTTTCTTTCTGCTTCCTTCCCTAAGGCTGAGTTCTCTGCAACAGAGTCTTGGCTCACATCGAGAATCGTTGCATCACAAGGTAAGTTAATATCAAGTAACCTATTTCTCCCCTTATTTTCTGCTTCACCTTCAAATGGCTCGGGAACAGATACGAATGGGGAGGTAAAAGAAGATTCATTGTTAGAAACAAAACATTTTTCAAAAAGAGGAGTCCCCAGAATCATTTTATTGTGCAGGCATTCACTTATTTCACTCCTGCTGGCATTGGCATTATTGGAGAACGGAACTGACTTCATATTTCGTGTCAAAATTTGAATGAAACCATTTCTGGTCTCATTTTTAATGGTCGACTGCTTTGTAGAAGATTGAGAGAAGCTCAACTCTCCAACAGTGAAATCCCTTGCTTCACTAGTGGGCTCGTTCTTACAAGCACGCTTGGCTCGTAACCATGGCAGGCCTGGAAGATGGTCCTCATGCTTTCTTCCTCCGACTACTTGATGACCTTGCTGCAAAACTGGTTTGGTAGATGAATCGTTCGAAAGCAACACATTCAAATTCATATCAGTTCTGGACTTCATATTAACACTATTTGAGCAGTTGTAGAGCTTAGATGAATCACGAGTGGTGAAGTTCTCTAAGACCCCCTTACTATCATTACTACATTTTGGGAAATCATAACTGATGGAAGGGAAGCAAATTGCAGGTTCCTTGGACCCAGACGATGATCCATTATAACATCCATTTCGATTGGGCGGTTCACCTCCAAAACCTGGGTTAAGTTTAGAATTGCGACTCACCTGCCACTTCTCCCAAAAAATTCCATTGCTTTGCGGTGCCATCATGGAACTCTTACTAAAAGAACCAGATGAATTCAAAAATGGGCGAGTCTGAGCTGAAACTGACTTCTGGATTAAGTTACTGGAAGGCTTTTCCCACGAAGAAACTGAATGAAACCATTGCTTCACAGCATCGGAAGAAGTAAACGGATTCAAACTGGGTATGCCGGAAGTCATGATTGAATCAGGATGGCTGTTATTGGATATTTCACAAATTCTTTCGGAAACTTCTAAACTGTGAAGCATTCTCTCTCTAGAGAGATATGCCTTGTTTTGACCAGTTAGCAAAGAAGTTGGAGGATCATGAGCTTTGTCAAAAAGAACATGTACCTGCTGAGACGATACACGCAACTTCTCGGACTGAAAACCTTGAGAAGTAGATATTAAGTTGGCTTTACAATGCCCTGCAAAGAAAGACAATATTCACATTAGAATAACCAAAATTACATGTTAAATTATGATCAGGCAGTCTGCACTTTTTTCGGTCTGGTATCAAAAAGAAAAGACTTGATGGAAATTTCAATTATTGACCTGCTTCAAGCACAGGGGGAAAGAATCCCTATTATTTTCAACGTGCACATTATTTATGGACCAATTATCACTTTGGCGATGAGAGCTGATAGAATTTTCTTTTGACAAATCAAGGAGCTCTTGTTTTGGTTTCACGGATGGTTCACAGCCTCCACAATCGGGATCTTGGCAATCCAAGTATGAAGAACCATTGGTTTCTTCAATAGGCTCATTCAAGTCGGCCAAACTATTTTTTCCCCGCAAACATGTATCAGATCTTGAAGTATCACCTAAGCAACCAGCCTTCCCAACATCACCGTGAAATAGCTTCTTACCACTCTCAGGCCCGATTTTCCCATTTCCACATGGAAGATATCTTGACATGCCAGGTGCTGTTTCATCCTTGAACTGTGCTGCTTCTTCAGTATCAATGTACTCATCCGCAGGAAGTTCAAGATCAAACGTTTCCCTTATCACTTTTGTGGGTCTGCACTCTACCACCTCAACACCATTTGAATCATCTCCATTTTGGGGCAGAAAGGAACCAGCTTGGATGGTGCTTCGCTTCATGAAACTCAGGGGAGAATGCCTATGCTCAACACCAGATACCAATGGTCTAGCACAATTGGAGTTTGCCGCAGGGAAGCTGAGGATATGCAATTTATGGGCATCTTCGGTTGTAATTTGCGAAGCTAATGGTCTTGATGAAAATGTTGGCCCAATAGGAACCTGATATTTTGGTATTTTTTTCTTTTTTATTTCATCCATCAAGTCCTTTTGGGTCCTATACAAGCGATGAAGCTCATACACCTGGATAAAGACAGAGAACTACAGATATTTAAATATCTACGAAACAAAGTTGAGTTTATAAACAAACAACACTCAACTTCATCGGAATATTTCAGGCAAAAGCCATATAAAACTAAATACAGGCCAACCTGAGTCCTGAAAATTGCCTCATGCTCAAGCATCTTTCGCTTCAAAGCATTCTTATCATACCCAGGATATGCATCTGCTATGGCCCTCGGGAAAAAACCATTGCAATACTGACCATTTATCAAGGTCTTATCCCCGTAATAAAGTGGCCAGTTACAACTGTTAGAATCATCGTTTAGATCTCTCATCGAGTAATATCCTGGAAGATAGCTTTCAGACTGCACTTTTGTTCCCATTCCTGAAATTAGTGAACAAGTCTAGGTAATTTGATATATAGTAAACAATCATAACTACTAGAATCTTAATACTTGTTGGCCTAAAAAAATACTTGCAGTGTTATCCATTCACATTATTTATAGCAGAAATCATAGATAATGATCACATATAAACATCAAAAGAGCACTGTAAATTCTCGTAGTATAAAGAAATTCTTCAAAAATGTGAGAAATTTTTTTCTAGCAGAGTCTGATTTTGTTAAAAACACGTGGAATATTTGTTATTGGAACAGAATAGGGAACCCTACCGTTGCTGCTAATGCATGGATCCTATCCCAATGAACCGTAAAACAAATAACAACAACCACAAGCAATTATGAAATGAAAGCCTGTGATAGAAAGCAACCCAAGTAACCAAAGATGAAAAACTTGGTTGAATGCCTCTCTGACAGTGATTTGACAAAAATAATTAAAAAAGAAAAGAAGCTTCAACAATAATTGAATGATCTTAAACCCTAAAGAACAGCCTAACAACTTGCTAAAGCACCAAAGATGATTGAACGAACCACTTATATTTCACATAAAACTGACTAGTAATATTAAACACAAGTCGTATGGTTGAAGGTCTATGGCATATGCCTGGTTGATGAGCAAATTCAACAGCAACCCAAAGAAAATATCACAAACCATCACAAGAATAAAGGAAGCAGCCGGTTAATAAAAATAAAGGATAATGGTTGAAGTCCTAAATTTCGATGTTATCCCTACTTTTAATAATGCATGCTATAACATCAACTACGTTCCGTAAATATAGCCATCAAAACCAATGAATCATCACACCTTTGTTTGGTACAACATGTCCATACACTAAAATAGTTCCTATACATAGTTCCAGCTAAAATGTAAAAGAGTTTTGTCCTACATTTATGAAAAGGTATCAGATCATGAATTCATAGCTATGCCATCAAAAGTAGACACATAAAACCAAGATTTAGGAGTATAATTCAAGTCAAAAACACCATCAATTAAGAACAATACCCACTTCATATACATATTGAAAACTCCCAGATAAAGACATAATTTAGCAGGAAAGTTAGGAACCCTATGAACAAGAAGGCAAAATCCTATTCTATTTATGAAGAAATGGGGACATTAAGATGCTAAATTAGTAAGCAAAGTTAATAGACTAGATCCCACATAACTAATACCTAAACTAATATGACAAACTACCAAATATTAACATCTAAAATTTAATTGCAAAAGATATGACACCAATCAAACCAAAATTACCAATAACCCCAACCCACAAATCACAACGTAGAAATTAAAACAATAATAATTAATTAAAAAATTATAGTTGAACTAAAAGGTTCAAATAACTCAATTACAAAGTGTATAAAAATAACTCAGGCAAAAAGGAAAAAATGAAGAAAGAAAAGAGAATCCAAATAACCAAATCATGGTAAGATAATAAATAAATAAAAATTCTATAAGTCAAATTAACAGTGTGGAGAAAAACGAAAGAACTTTTACCTCAGACCCACATCCTGTAATCACTCCTCCTTCAAGATTGTTTTATTTCCCCTTGCTAGATAATTCATAGCTCCCAAACATCCCCAGGGTATCAACAAAGATTAAATCTTTACAGAAAAAAATACAGCTTTCACAACCAAGTGAGTGTTATTGTAACACCATTAAAGGAGCTCAGATCATCATCAGATTGAATAAAAAAACAGAAGGAGATTCCGATCTACAGGGCACTCTCTTAAACAAAGAATAAAGAATAATTGTTGAAGTCCTGAAATTGGATTTTGTTTCTAGAGAGAAAATGTTTAAAAGGAAAAGAAAGAAAAAAAAAACTAGTAGAATGGTTTGGTTTGGTTTGGTTTGGTTTGGTGGTGTGAGAGAGAGAGAGAGAGAGAGAGATCCCATATAAGAAATGAAATCTTTCACACAAACAAAGACATGAAATTTGTCAACATACGGTCTCTGCTTTTTCTTCACTTCTCTCCCTCGTTTTCTTTTTCGTTTTTCTCTCCTTGGGTTCTTTCTGAAACTACGATTGTATATAAATATAATATATTATTTATAGAAAGGGAATTTCAGATTCTCTCCGCCTCCCCTGCTTTCTATTTTTTCAGATATTTAACAAAAATAATATAAGGCCCTTGTTTTATAAAGCTTTGTCAATTTTTCTAATTACTTTTAATATAGTATGAATGCTTCAATTTTTGCCTATTTAATTCAGTTTAAACTACTCATTAATTATTAGGACTGACTATTTAATCTAATCAAATAGAAAGAATTTAAGTTAATTGAGTTTATAGATATTACTTTATTATTTAAATTTTATTTTTTTAATTTAATCAAATTAAATTTATAAAATTTGATATTTATTTGAGTTTATGTTCAAATTTAAATGTATTTATAATATTTTAGTAATAATTGGTTCTAACTGAAATGATCTTATCTAATCATGTTATATATATATATATATGAGTAAGTAATATTTATAATATTATTTAATAAATTAAATACCATCTATAATTATATAATATTAATAGGAGTATAAAAGATTTAAGAAATTGGCGAGAAAAAAAAATGATTTGTAAAGAGTTGCACTTAAAAGATTAAATAAAATAAAATATAAAGTGAAGGGATTGAATTGTAAAAGAGAAAATTATTTTTACAAATAAAATTTAAGTTATATAAGTATTCTGGGTGATATAAGAACATGTGATTTAAATTTAATTAAATAGATTTAAAATAAATAAAAAACACGTAAAGTTGAAGATTAATTCTAAAAAGTAAAAGAAAATTTATTATACGGAATGAATTAAATCTACATATATAATAGTCATCGGTTGGTTCAAATTTGAGTATAAAAAATGATTTTAAAGGATGGAAGAATTTAAGAAATAAAAAGTTAGTGTCAAAATCACAAAATAGATTAATTGCTCAGTTAAATATTAAAATAACATAATTTTTTATTTTTACTTTTTAAATTATTTAAAATTTAAAAATTATATTTGAATAAAATTTAATATTCAAACAAAAAAATATTTTTAAATAAAATCAAATTTTACGCATCTTTATTATTAATAAAAACCACATCTTTAAATATTACTTTTACATTTTGTTGCGGTTCAACTTTAAAATCAACATTTACAATCGAATTAATGTAATTTTTATTTTGGTTAAGCTTTTATTTTAGGTTTTTTATTATATTTAAATTTTAGATTTAATTTCTATACTTTAATTTGGTATAATAAATATTACATGATTTTCTTTAAAAAAATCATTTTAACTTGTAAATTATCTTTTCTATTAAAATTATTTTCTTAACATAAATTCATGTCAATGCAGCACATAAATTAAAATCATAATTTTAACATTTTAATCTAGATGTTTAAATAGAAAATAATCAAATATGTTATTACACCTTATTAAGATGTAAAAAAGGATGAAGCCAGTGTCCTGTTTCAAAAGGGGTAATAGTAATTATTTAGAGGTTAATTAGTTTGCAAAACGGTGATTAATTGGCTAATTCATAACGGCAGACAACAAATGGGGTCCTCTAATCTTGTCTGTGTTAAGGTTGAGGTTTCTTCAGGTTTAAGACACATAATTACGATATTAGTTTTTTTTTAATATTACATATAATAATTTGTTATAATCTTATAATTATAAGATTGTAATACACAGAAGAAGTTTTATAACATGATTTAAAATAGAAATATGTCAAAATTTATATAACATGAGAGAAAGAATTTTTTATTTTTTATTTTTTGTGTTTGTATCATACAATCATATCATATATATATAAGATTACTGATTATATATATGAATATTAATAAATATGTTTATTTGTTCAACTAAATTGTAAAGCAAACTAGAAAGTACCAGTAATTTATTGTTTTTTGAATATATTTTGAAAAAATATAAAAATTGCGGTAGAATTTTATGTAGTTTGAAAATTACAGAAAAATGAAGAAATAAATTAAAAGTATATAAAACATTTATATTTGTACGTAAATGAGAACCTTAATTATTATATTTAGCTTCAAGTCATATCCATTGATGGTTAATTAATTGATTGCTTCAACATTTTTAATGCACTTTAAGAAATCAAAAGTTTGATAAGACAATTAATTCTTTCAATGTTTCCAAGAAAAAGTATTTAAAATTCAACAATTATTATTATTATTAATCTGAGTTGAATATAAGATAATGTTTGTTTAAAAATTATTAAATTTAACATTTAACTCTCGTATTCATTAGCGGAGCCAACATTTAACAAGTGGTGTCAAACGACACCCAAAATTTTTTGGAAATTTTATATATATAGATTTAATACAAAATTTTTAAAAAAAAAATAAAATTAACATATTTTTAAAATAAGATTAGCACTTTTAAACATAAATTTGCACCTATTAATCATTTTCATCCACATGGAAAAAAATTCTTCATACAATTTTTAGCTTTGACACCCCAATATAAATTTTCTTTATATTTGTCACATCAAAACAATTTTTCTAACTCTGTCCCAGCTCATATTCCTACATACGTGATGTTCAAATTCGAAAGCTCAAAGAATAACAATAATTCCTTACATTATGGTCACTTGATTCGTACATCCAACAATTATTATTAAACTTATTTAAGGTGCAACAAATCTAAAAAAAAAAGTAATCAATAAGTCTGTTTGTTTGCCATAAAATGAATTAAGGAATTGGTTTTCCTCGAAATCTCATGTTTGTTTCACGTAATTCGTTTTCCGAAAAATGTTTTCCTGTGTTTGTTTCATGTAATTCGTCTTCCGTAAAATGTTTTCCAGTGTTTGGATGGAGGAAAACTGGTTGGTCAACGTAAAACATTTTCCTGATCAACAGAATTTCTTTTGTGTTTTCTGAAAAATGACTTACGGTCTGATTTTCCGTAAATTATTTTTCGAACTTTTCACTTCAAAGAATAAATACTCAAAATAATTTTATTTATGAATTTAATATTAATAAAATATTTTAATATAATTTTAATCAAAATATTAATTATTAAAATATTTACTAATATTTATTAATATTTATAATAATATAATATAATATTTTTAATATTATAATAAAATAATCAATTATATTATAACAATATAAGATATTATATTTTTAGTTTAATAATATATAACAAATTATTAATAAAATTTACATTATTCATTAATTTCATAGAAGTAATATTATTAAATTATTATTAATATTATTATTATCTATATATTTAATATTAATATAATAATCTAATAATATTTTAATAATGATATTTAAAATATACTAATTAATATTTTTAAAATATAATATAACACTATTACTTTAATAAATAATTAATGTAATTTATAATATTTTTATTTCAATAAAATATACCAATATTAATATTTTTATTAATAAAATTATAAAAATAATATTTAATAATAAATAAATTATTTAATATTTTAAAAATAATAATATTAAGTTTATAATAAATAATATTATTTATTGTATTAAATATTTGTAATAAATAATTTTTAAAAAATTCATTAACTAGTGGAAAAAATGTTTAAACAATATCTTCCAAATATCGTAAAACGTTTTCTATATGTTTTTCATAAAAATGTAATTCATTCTATGTCAAACATTTTCCGGAACACATTTTCTAGAAATATAATTCATTTTCCAGAATTTAAATTCCAATAATTCATTTTTCATAATTCAATTTTCAAAAAATCAACTACAACCAAACAAACAGACCCTTATAAACATTACTAATATGAAATATTTTTTATCTATATTTAAAAATATTTCTATTAAAATTCAAGAAACTAAATTTAAATAATTAATTTTATTTTCATATATATTGTTATTATTATTCGAATTTGAACTGGTGTGATCCAATTTGTTCCAATCAATATGAATCGGTTGAGTTTGGTTTGATATAAGACTCGGCTGTCATAAAATTTGAGGAACAAGTCAAGTCACTATCAACTTATTTAATCATTAACCAAGAAATAAAAAACGTTATATTCATAAGTAGACTCTTTGTTTCTTAGGTTTTTCTTAGAGTAAAACACACAAATGATCTCGTAATATAAGAACATATTTTATTGATTTGTTTGATTATTAAAATTTATAAAATAGTCATTTAATTATAGGATATTATTTTATTTAATCATTTAACTATTAAAAGTTATAAAATGGTCATCGACTATTCATATGTTTTAAACTCGTCATTTTTATTAAAAATTTGACGGTTGTCTGAGTTGTACGTTAACATTTTGACTGAGATATAATAAAATCTAATCCCACAATCGTTTCAGCTATATTTTATGGATCGACTCTCCCTTTAGATTATGTCACTGAGTCGGTGCTTGAAATATTATATCGTCGAGCTAGAGCTTGAAAGCAGAGGTGATGTTAGTAGACATCATTAAAATATGTTTTTATCATATATCAATCAACATGTTAACATTTAGCTTAGACAACAAATATTTTTTAAAGAAAAGTACGAGTTTGAAACATATAAATAGTCGGGTAATCATTTTGTAACCTTTTATAGTTGGAGGACTCACTAAAACAATACCTTATAACCAGTTAATCATTTTGTAGCTTTTAATAGTCGATATACTTAACAAAATAATATTTTATAGTCATATGACTATTTGTGTACTATACCCATTTTTTAATACATATTAGGGTAAACTATGTATTTAGCCACCCAACTATTCGATAAGATTTGTTTTGGTCACCCAACTTTTTTTTCAAAATTATACATAATATTTCGTTTTGGTTTTATTTTGGTCACCCGTCGTTACAAATTAACAAAACTACTGACGTTGTATTTTTATAATTTTTAATGATGACATGGTATTATCTTATGGTGACACGTCAGTATAATCGTTAATTTTGTAACAAAATCTGACCAAAATAAAATCAAAATGTAATGTTAGATATGATTTAAGAAAAAAATGTT